GTGTACAAGTGGGTGTTTCTGCTCTGGCGAGAGTGTGTGTGTGTGTGTGTGTGTGAGGGTGTGTGTGTGCGCGCGTTGTTTTTGGGGGGAGCTCGCACATTTGCTTAGTCTAATAAACATTTATATGAATTTTGACAAGTGCTACACAAGCCAACAAAAGGATAGGGCAAACTCAGTGAGCACTTAAAGCTGCGCCAATTGTCTGGCTTTAATGTCGAGTGTCAAGCAAATAAATTACATCAGCAGCAACTAACAAATCAAATAATGCATGCATAAATTTAACAATTTTCAGTAGCCAGAAAGTAGCTAAAACTTCACCAATGGATGTTATGGCAGGCAGTGGGTAGAGATGGTTACGTTCTGGTGTTAGCTGCGTCGGCGGCTGCTTTTCCAATGACTCACTTTGTAATTTATGACTTGGAACTGGAGCAGGGCAGGAACAGCCAGAATCCGCAGCAGCAACACTACCAGCAGTAGAAGCGAGCCAACGCCTCAGCGCCTCCTTGCGAATGACAATTTTCGGCACAATTTTCGCCGCAGCTTGGATAGAGAAGACGTGAGAAACAGTCGTGAATAGGAGCGGGAGTGCGAGGAGCGGGAGGAGCCCTTAGTATGGCAGCATTGGGAAATTGTAAAATTGTTGAAATATAAAACTTTCCGCTGCATAACGAGCTAACGATGCGGAAACCTGAAGAAAGTTATGTTATCAATTTCAGTACCAACAAATAAATTTGAATTTAACACGGCAGCATACAAAAGGTCATCAACAAACTTTTAAAATTATATGCACTCGCACTTATGTTAAAATAAAAAGAAAGAATGCTCAAGAGTTTTAGTTTGAAGGTTCGCTTCGGCTGTTGATGGCGTGCAGACAATCAAAGGGACATCGCTTCATTGCTTTGAGTGCATATCATCAATTTATTTTTATCTTATCGAAACGGATTGCTTAATTAAAAAATACTCTTTTTGGTTGATATTATGATTCTTAAAAGAACAAACACTATATCATGGCTCACACACGTGAACTTCAACGTGATAAATAAACTACAAAAAATAATTGCTAGCTGAATGCTGTTCAAAGTCAAGTTAACACCTCTCAATCTAAAAGTAGTTTTCTATGCGACTTCAAGCTTTTGCGAATTTGTTCAAAAATAACTTTCGGGCACTCGATGGGAATCCGAGTGATAACTTTAACGAAATAAATTGTGGCCATATTTTCGTCGCCCTCCCCGTTTGGTTATAAAATCAATTTCCGTTGAAGAATTCAATTTCCGAATGCAATAATTATGCCAAGTGTCAATGCAAAAAAATGCAAAAACCACAAAGAAGTTTTCTTCCTCTATCTCGCGCTCTCTCTCTCTCTTTTTCTATCTCTTTCGTTGTCTCTTTCTCTCACTGTTGGCACACCTGTTTCGTGCATCGTCAATTAATAACTTTTGTTGTTGCTGTTTTTGTTTTTTTGTATAAATCTTTTGGCACAAATCTAAGCTAGGGTTGGGCGCAAAAGGAAAATCACATAAATCCCTGAGCATTTAATTCGAACAATAAGAAAAATAATTACGAGTGCTGAGCACGTGAGTCAAGAGCACTTGACGGTAAGCAAGGGCCTGCAATGGGGGATAAGCCGTGAAAAAATTACAAGTCGAGACGCGCCCCATCTAAGTTGGATTGCTACGTTCAACTGACAGTCGCCCGGAAACAACAACAAAAGTCTGTGAGTGTATGTCTGCTTGTGTGTGTTTGTTTGCGTTTGTGTGTGTGTGTAATTGTGTAGGATGGGTTTACTTGTCAGGCAGTTAATCTAACCCATCAAGCTGAGGCGCCGACTCGCTATCCAGATATTCCAGACCAGGCAGCGTCAGCGGAAAACGGCGAACACAGGTGCAATTAAGAATTTTGCACGGAAGCCAAGTCAAGTCAATAGTGTGTGTATGTGTGTGTGTGTACGTGTGTTTTTAAAAGGGAGAGAGAGAGAGATAGAGGGGAAGTGTCCTCATCCCATGGACTATCTAGGCGCCCATCGTGAGGCTCGGCTAGGAAGCCAGCCAACAATCGTCAGTTTCTTGCTATCTGCTGTGCCACCTACAACCCGCAACCGTTTACCCTTCTGGCACCTCAGCTCCGCTTCGCCCATCCCCTCATGCCCCCCCCCCCCCCCCCGCGCTCGTTTACTATTCATTCTAGCGTGCCATTAAGATTTGTTGTTTGAATACATTTAGCATTTGTTAGTGCAGCCATTGCTGAGTAATTGTGAGTGTATAGGGTGTGTATGTGTGTGAGAGCTGTGTGCGTGTGTGTTTGTGTGTGAGTGTGCCTCATTTTGCACTCACAGCAATTATTTACCCGCGCTTAAAGCTAAAAGGCTTTAATTGCGCGATTATTTGTCTTCTTCATTAAGCGAAACACGCAAATCTCAAAGGCGAATCCTTTGAATGGTTAGGCAAGGGATGAGCAAAGACAAGAAGCGAGCGACGAATGTGGGGAAAGTTGGATGAACAAACAGTGAGCAATGTAAGTAGACGCATAAGCCCCGCAGTAGCTGTTGTGTGGTTGCGAACTTTATTTTAAGGTGGAACTTGCAAAATGAAGACAAGAGATTAAGTGATGAAAAAGAGCCCAACAGGTAAATGAATAATTATAGCTAGTGAAACCAACATTATGATAGAAGGCTTTAAATAGTTAACATCAGAATTGATGAGCCCTAAATATTTAGAATTTGTGCGAAGTTATGCAAATTAAATACTTAAATGTTTTTTCTTGGTATCAAAAATTGTGCTATATATTCTTAAATTATAGTATATATATTTATGCCTATTTTTGATCTCCAACAGTACTGCACGCAAAATCTTAAAGTGTATCAAGTATACGCAATGTGAGCTGGGTATAAACTTTTGCTGCTAACTGTAAAATGCACACGCCACATGCAATCCTTTAGTCAACTAGTGCCCCTGTTCTACGCTCCTTGCCGCAGCACGCTACAAAAGCAAAAGCACATATTCAGCGAAAGTTTCTAAATTATTGCAAAACAAGCAGTCAAACAAGTAGCAGCAGCAGCAGCAGCAGCAGTAGCAGTTACAAAAGCAACAATAATAGCAACTATTTGTGCCAGCAGCCGCGCCTTGTTGCGGGCTCTCAGGATCTGAGGCATTTGTGCTAAATATCGAGACGATGCCAGGGCCAACGTGCGACGACTACAATTAAAAGCACACCTTTTGCAGCCACGATGACGACACGACACGACACGACACGGCAGAGCATCAGCAGCGGGAGCAGTGTTGAGGGGCAAGTAGCCTTTTCCCACCAGTTTCTTCAATAATTGACAAGCCCCCAATGAGGAGGCCACTGAGACTCTGCTACAAAGTGAAAACATAGCGCGAAAATGTTGCAACGTTTTAGTTTTAATTTCTAGAAGGGGACTAGCACGTGGACGAGCAGAGGACGAGCGGCCTAGGGCACACCCTGAATATCCAGCAGAGTCAAGGAATTTAACCTTTGCGCCCAAGTGTTTTATATTGTGCAGTTTTCAGTCGCTGGAATGTGTTAAGGATGACCTCCTTTTACCCCAACCCCTATAATTCCCTTTGTAGCTAAAGTTTAAGTTTCCTCATTTGTGTGTGTGTATACATACTTCTTTGAGTGTATGTGGTTGGACCGGAAGCAAACAGCAGAAGGCAAAAGAAAAGTTGCTTCCTCTCTTTAGCGTGCGGCTGTTGGCAATCAAATAGCTGAGTCAGTTAGCCAGACATATTGAGCGGGCCCCAGCCAATTGGCCAACTAAGACAATGTACGGCGGCAACTCTCTTAAAGACACCTCTAGCTGCCGCCGTTGCCACGTCCAAAAATAGCTGGCACGGCTTCAACACTGTGTATGCGTGACAAAATGGTATTTAAAGCCGCCGGAAGCGGCAGCAATTTAAGTTGCAACCAGCGCCTCGTGTGCTGCATTCATTAATGCTGACTCAGGTAAACTGCTTTTTGTTTTTATACCCTGTGCCCGTTGAAAATGTGTAAAAAGAGTTTAATATACAGTAGAGCCTCGATTATCGGTGAATTGAGCTCATTACGGATATCGAAAGTTCTCTTAAAGAGGAGCTTTACAAATTTTATTGTTTTATTGGATGCGGCGCCTATAAACATACATATGAATAAAGATACCTTTTTACTAACTAAGAGATTTATTTAATAGTTAATTTGCTTAAGTCATTTTCTTCAGCTTTTGATTGAAGTTCGAGTAAATGAGTAAATAGAGATACAAAGTCAACCACGCAGCAATCCCGGCTAACAGATGTTTCCGGTAAATATTTTTTTCTATTAACATCTGCGTGCTTATTCGTCTTAAGAGTTAGAGACTTTAAAATGCAATTAAAAGTTTATTATAAATAATCAAGAATATACTCTTTTTTAATCGTAATCGATCAAATTGATAACAATTGATAATATGATGAATCTTGGAATCGTACTTTAAAAAAATAACCTATTTATATTAAATACCCACTGTCACTATGCTTATACATATGACTGTGACAAACTATATTTAACTAGAAACTTAACAATTAGTTAATTTTTGTATTTTTAATTTTAAAACTCAACCTTTTTATATATGTGCTAAGTTTACCCGAAATAAAAAAAAAAAAAAACTATAACTGCAGACTTGCCAAATATTATATATTAAAATATTAAAAATATTAGAACTATTTATAAGTCTATTTAGGTTCTCTTATTTTCTATCTACTCTTAACTTATTGAAACATTACGGCCAGAAGCACCGCAATTAAAATATCAAAACGTATTTATTTTTCGGGGCTCCATAGAAATCTTTTTCTATTTCTTGTCATTAGCATTGGTGAAACACTCAGGTTAGCTTCCAGCCCACGCTCAGACAACATCATTAATATGAAAAAGCAGTCGCATAAGTCATTTCATTTGTTGAAAATGTTCATTCAAGATAAGCGTGAGAATTAAAAGTGCGGGTAAAGAGTTCGGGGTTTCCCAAAACTTTACTCTCTCACTGACTTCTGTTGAGAGGGAGGTATTGGGAGAGAGAAGTACTATGATTATGGGAAAACTTTGATTGGCAACCTGAGGGCGCATATTATTTACCGTACTCTATTCGTTCTTTCACAGTATCAGAGATCCGTCTATCCATCTTGATGTGCGCTATTGTATATTTACACAGGCTGTCGCGTTGTCAAAGTTTTCGGAGCCAGCACAAATCGACGTTTGGCAACTTTTAACGCACCCGCATGCATTTCAGCTTGCCTCAAATTGTTGCAAATAAAATTCCCGCCCGCTTTTTGGGAATCAGCTCGTAATTTCTTAAATAGTTGCTCATCATCCTTATCTGGAAGGGCAGGAAAGAGTTTGTGGGGCACAGCTGTGGCTCTATGTGCGCGCTAAGTGTTGGCTGGTATATATATTGCATGGGCTGGGTGCTGCCTGGCTGTGTGTGGCATGGGTAAAATACTTGTGTTAATTTATATGACATACAGTCTGTCGCATTTTCCACTGGTACCGCACGGCTTTTTCTGTGTGTGCGTGTGTATATTGATGTTGCCACTGAGTGCTTCTGCATTTTGCCTAGTTCGCGTTTGCTTGTGGAGAGCAGATTTGTCAATTAGGCCGCATCGTTACCGTTTACATAAAACTATCACAAGAGAACAGGCCAAATACAAGAAACATCTTTCCTAGAATGCTCGACAAACAGATGCCCTAAAATTAAATATAAGAATTATATGTAATATATATGTTTTTATGACTTTTAGATGTAAGTCCGTGTATTAAGTTCTTGAACATTTCAAAAAGTAGTATGATTTAACTGCGTATAATATATACTTTTGTTTGACAATAGTCATCTCTCTGTCAGTAGGATCTTCTATATTGTCACTGCACACATTTCTGATGAAATTTTTTCCAACTTTAGGCTCTCTGTACAAAAAAACAAACCACAAAACCGTTGCGCGCTTGGAAAAGTACACGCAAAGGCAAATATGGCGCAGTTACAACACATCCCCCGCGCCGTCCCCTTCCGACAAACCACTTTGCACAACTGCGGTGGTGTCAAGAGCGAGTGGCGCATTTGCCGGGCATCTAATCAACAGAATTTAGCGTCATTTGAGTGCGTGCGACATGTAAACTGTGTGTTGCATGTGGCATGGGAAGGACAGGGGAAAAAAGGCGGCCCAGCACATTTGTGAGTATCACTGACAGGCATTACCGCTGCCGCTGCCTCTGCCGCTGCTGCTGCTGCTGCTGCGGGTGTCATCAATTTGAGTTTTATACTGCTGCTGTGTAGAGATCCCTGTATACCAATCACACCCCACTGACGTTCGGCTGCTGTTGGCACTGATTTCGCGCTGATTTTGCAGGAGCCGCAAAAAACGAGACGCGCATCAAATCCATCAACGGGTTGAAATTGCAACATTCAACGTTGAATATGAAAAAAAGGGGGGGCGGCAAGGGGTTGAGGCGAGAAACCCAAGTCAAATCACCGGTGGAGGACAACATGCTGATGACACGCTGCTACCCGTCGATGGCTGAGCTGATGCGTGACACGAATTCCAGTGTCCTGGCCGTATCCTCCTGGTTTTAGTCCTGGCCTGGGAGCCAAAAGTAGATGCCGCTTAAAAATTTAAATTGTATTTGCGGCAGCGGGTGACGCAGCTGGTAGTTGGGCAGGTGGTGCACACTAAATCAAAGTAAGGATAACGCCCTACCTTAACGAGCGACAGGCGACAGTAGACATGCGACTAGCATCACTCGACGGCTCATGTTCCAAGAAAGAAAAAAAAATTCGCAAAAAAAAGACACCAAAATTGCACATAAAAATTGCAGAAGCCGGTGGCACTGCTGGCTGTTGGTGGTTGGTGGTGCTTCTACTACTGGGCTCTGGCAACGACTAAAATTCAATCGTACATTTTGCACACAGTGAGTAAATGGGGGCAGGCGGGACACCTGCTGATGAGCAAATCTTAAGTGCAATAAAGATGGAGACGCAACAAAATCCAAAGTACGTGCAGCTGAACCCCGACCAGGTTCCAGTATGGTTCCACCTGGTTCACTTACTTAGCGGGATTTTCAGTCTCGTGTTTTCAAAGTTCCAAGTTTGCCATTCTTTTAAGTAGTACATGCCCCACCTAGGCAGTCAGCCTTTCTCTCTATAAGGCTTTTTGTTTTGTTCTACTTTCACGCTAAATCGTAAATTTTGCAAAAATAAAAAATGGAAAAAAGAAAAATGGAAAACTTTGAAGCGCCTACGTGACGCACTGAAGCAGATTTCTGTAATACCCACCAAGCAGTACGATTCTACGTACGTATAAAAACACAAAAAGAGGAGAAAAAAAAATACATAAAATAGTTTTTCTGCCTTTGCCGTGCGCAAAAGTTGCGCTAAACTCAGACGCAAGTGTTAAGTGCGTTGGGTTAGCCAAGCAGCCAAGTGGAAGATGGGGAGTGGAAGGCTTGAGGCTAGGGGTTGGCATTGCCAAGCTAGTTAGCAAAGGAGTTCGTGTTTCGCAGCTGAACTTTGAGCTGCCAAGAAAATTGCGATGCTTTTGTACCTCAGAGCTTGCCGTAACAATGACCCCGAGCACCTTTTTACTCTAATGTTTAAAAATGAAAAAATGTTTCAAAACTGAGTGCACGCAGCCCAAGCTCAATACGATATATCAAAGAGACGGCGCACTTTAATGGTGTTTAATCAATTTAAAATACATGTCGCATGGCAGTTAAAAAAATATTTTTATTTTTATCCATGTATTTTCACATCAGTAATTTAAGCTTATTTCATTAGAGACCAATTTTATTTAATTCAAGTAAAACTGTCAACTAGTGAATACCATGGACATTCTTCCACTTATGCCAATTGCAAAATTAAAATTAATAATAAACTTTAAAAAAAAGTTAGTTCCAAACATGTTACTACCTCTAGCCAACATTAAAAAAGAAGAACATACACTAAGCACAGAATAAAATCGCATTCAAATGTATACGGAAATGCTTGCAAGTTGGCGTTAAGTATAAAATAAAAGATTCTTTATCTGTATATTCCATTCTAGAAGTTAAATTTAAAATTCGTTTATCTAGCTTTTAAAACTTACGAATATTTCTCAAAAATCAGGATTTCGAAATCGATTTTAATGAACGCTATTTTTGATTCAAAACAAAAACATTTATAAAAAAAAATAAGATTTTAATGGATTACTTGGAATGCAGACATAGTTTTAATATATTTACTTATATATGTAGTCAGATATAAAGTATACGACATTGGAATGACGATAAATGCTACTTAGGTACAAGAAATATTAATTTTTTTTTTATAATTATAAAAATAAATAAGTGTACAAAAGTAGACAAATTCTAGACAAAAAATTATGGAAAGTCTGGAGACAGATTAATTAAAAGTGGTATTATAATGTACTCTTATTTTATAATATTTAAGAATATGAAATAATTTTTTCTCTTAAATTAATAAATTTTTATTGAATCCTTTTTGACGTGTGACTATTATTTCCAGCTTTGAGACAAACTGATCCCACAACTAAAATGAGTTTTCCCTCTTTTACCACTAACAAGAATATCTTCTATTTACTAAAGTATTAAGGTAATAATCAGCATGGTTCCTCAAATTTGAGCTTAAAGCTTAATAAACACTAAAAACTGATTACATATACGCCACGTGATGCCGTGAGAGGGCCAAAGCGCCACCCATAAAAGACAAAAAATAAATAATAAAAAAATGAAATGAAAGCTGCTTATGCTTATAAATATTTACCAACAAAAGCGTTTCTTATTTTTTATGTCAATTCTTAAATTTGTACATTAAATTGTAATTCACGTAAATTGCGGCGAGGGGCCTGATATTACACGATGTTAGACGAGTGCTAGGTTCTAGCTAAGGGGCAGAAACAGGAACAGGAACAGGAAGCGGGGCAATGCCAATGGTTGTAACAAAGCATTTTTGCATTTTTACTTAAATATCAACCATTTTAACGATTTACTGCGAAAATTTCATGCATTTTATGTACCCCAATGTGTGTGTGTGAAAGTTGTTCTTAAGCAAACATGCCCCCGTGTGTGTGTGTGTGTGTGCGTGCGTGTGTGCGTGCGTGTGTGCATAAGCATGAAAGGCCCTTGACCAAGTAACCATAAAGCATGAAGCATGCTGCAAATAAGTAAGGCTAGACAGCCTTACGGATTCGCGGGGAGCATGAGCCAGGGGATGTGTAGCGCTGGTCAAAATGCGACCCCAGAAGCTGAGCCACGTGAGCTGTTCCAGTTCTCTCTCTATCACTCTCTATCTCTCTGCCCCTCCCATCAGAGTGAGCCATGTTTCGTCGTGTTTCTTGTTTCGTTACGTTTGCCTTTCGAGCGAGCACTGAATCTGATACGGTAGACGCGGGGTGTGACATAGCAGTGACGGGTGTTGGCCATTGGGCGGTGGGTTGCGGCTTGTAGCAGGAAACATGAAATTTTAATAATGTTTATAATGCCAAAAGGATTTGTTAGTCAACGGCGGGCGGTTCGAAGAGTTCCGCAACAAATTTAAATTAATATCGACACTGGGATCCCAAACCAAAATGATGGGCGGTTCGGAACCCGGTATTCCACATTTATGATTCCAGACCATGGTTGACACAAATAAATTATTAACTTATGATTGAATTTACTTGTTTTCATATACAAGATTTGCGCCAAATTTGATCTACATCCAAAATCGGAATAGGTATTCTTTAAAAGTTTTTTACTTTGTGCCACAAGTTATGGTTCGTTACACATTTAAAGTTCGTTTGTTTTTTAGATTTAAGCATCCAATTAAAATGGAGTTACATGTTCAAGTGGGTTCGGTACAAGCCCGGCTTGCAGCTCTGCATAGTATGTAGGCAGGTCTCGATAAACCCACGTTGGTACACAAATATGTTCTGTGTGTGTGCGTGAGTGTGTGTGTGTTTACTTGAACGTACATTGCCATTAAGCGTATTCGTTGCCGCTGCCGTTGCCGTCGCCCCCGTAAACTCCCAACAGCCCCCACCGCCCCCGGGTAGTGGTTCAAGCAATGACATATTGCGCTGCACAAATCCGCAAACAAACTTTATATGAGTGCCAAAGGATAAGAACAAACAGCGCCTGGCTTCGGCTCAGTCTCTGGCTCGCTGGCAGCATCATTGACATATATATTTCAAGCAGAAGGTAGGGCGGTAGGTGAGCAGAAGCCGATGCAGATGCACAAGGAGCAGTAAGCGAGCAGCAAGTAGCATCAACCTGGCCAAACATTGAAGCCACTTGTCAAACTGTCCGGCCCATCAGCAGAAGCGAGTGTCGGATCAACAAGAACGGCAGCTGCCTCTTGTGGCATGTGGGAGGACAGCCTCGTTTTCCGTGTGCTTCCTCTTCGACTTCCACTTTTGAAATTGAAAGCGAAGGGCTCAACTCGACTGTTTCCGAGATTTTGGACAAGCGGTCGTTCAATGAACCGCATGATTATAATGCTCTCCTCTGCACGCCAGACCACAGCATTTTGGACTACTAATTTTTAATATCTCAGGTAAATAAAGTCTGATTTTGAAATTTTATGCATTTTTGAATTCGTACGGATCTCAACTATCAATTGGCATTCAAACAAATTAAAAATCGATTGGTTAAAAAAATCTGTGGACCAAAAAACGATTCGTTTGTTAAGAAAACCTTTCTTGATGATTTTTTGG